AATATATATGTCTCTGTGTCCATAAGTTGCAGTTAGTTATTGACGATGTTGGCCACTGTTGGTTGTCGGCCGCCGTTGACTCTACTGTCACCACAACTTCTGTATACAAGTTTCAGTATAATAGGACCAATTAGGATAGCAGCCACTTAACGAGCGGATGACTGCCTTCGTTGACCTGCTCGTATCCGCATATCAGAGTGCAGGACCACATACCAGACAGATGTGGCCATAGAATACACTTGCTTCATAGCCATCGAGCCAGCACACTACGCCGTTCAGAGTATTTATCCCCTCGACGCAAAGAAAGAAGGACACTTCGCGTTTGGCAATTCACGAACACCAACATAACAACAACATCACAATCATCATCTTAGTCGGGTAAGATGGGGCGGGAGTACCGATCGAGGTTTCGGGTGATTTGATCTATTTAAGGGAAAGATACACGGCCTGCTCCATACGATAGTCTGCTATAGCAGTAGAAGCATCGTTGTAGCATTATATGTCAATCTCGTGCTCCCCAGTCTGTGGGTGCCGCAAGTACCCTGTCTGATCATTGGCTTAACGTTATTCTAATTTAACTGTTACTTATATCGTTAGATATGAATGTTTTTTATTCATTATGTGATATGAATGGTTGTTATTAATCATATGATTGACACTGTGACATTGACTAATGAGAATAAATAAAAACATAATTAAATGAATTTTTTTCATTGAAGTTAATTATGTTTATTAGTTAAGGTAAAACTGCCATCTTACTATTATTATTTGCACTTCTTATAGGGAGTATATATATATTTTTCTTAGGTAAATATATCTATTTTTTTTTTTCATTGAACTTATAAGGCGTGTCGATAAGAAATCGAAAGAGACTAACCTTCAAATTTTCATGGCCTCCCGGTCGTTTTCCATAGTTCTTCAGAATGATTTCTCTATCGAGAAAAACAGAGGCATTCATGGATTTCATTCTCTGATCAATCTATTTCCGAAGAATTTTCTTGATTGTTGCCCACATGAGTTCTTATCGTTCATATCAATCCTAGATGGATATGATTTTCGTTTCATGGTGCTAGCAATGCGATTGGTCGAGCAATTGGCAGGTTTGTTGGGAACCACGAAGTTGCGTTTATGACTGCCGAGCTCAGACAAATCGTTTGCGCTTGGTCCCACGCCCAATGTATAGCTTTACCGAAAAACAGCCTTTAATTCCTCTGGAACAAGCTAGCGTGTAAGTGTTCAGAGGGCGATTTCTCGTCCAAATCGAAACTTCTAACTTGAGGACACTGGCATCAATTTAAGGGTAACTTTTTCAGCGCATAACTAGTGAAGTTGGCACTGCAGGCAGAATATGGGCATTTTTAAATCTCATGATCTGATTGCACAGCGGATCATAACTGATGAACCCAACTTGAGCAAAAATACATCAGCAGAACTTGCAAATCAATTGCTCCCGACATCCCCTTATTTAGCGTTTTCCAGAACTGTATATTTCTATACTTCATGCTTGCCAGTCTATCACCGATGAACTACCAGGCCTTGGCTAACCCAGTAAATCAACACTTGCCACTTGTAGAGTAGCTTTTAGTCGAAGTGTCAAGGTAAAAATAAAACATCAAAAATCGATTCTGAACTAAAATTTTATGGAAAATTAACTGGAAATTTTACATGTAAATTGAAACAAGATTTCGCACATAGTTAAAGCACGCGGTTCTACTACTTTGCTACAATGGTGGGCAATGATAAGCCACAGTATAAAGCTCGCCAGTACCTGCGCCCTATTTGCTATGCTGACTAGCGGAAATGAGTAGCTTCAATCGCGCTTTCAATGGACAGGTCTTTCGGGTTTAGGTACAGTTACTTCTGCCCAAATAAATCAAATATAACATAAAAACAGTTGATTCGTAGATCACAATGTTTGCTTAAGTCGAACAAAGAACAAACGTCCATCAAAGATTATTGATCACTATTAATTCACTCTGACGCACACAGCACGGGCTTCATTTTGAAGGTATCTTTTTTTCTAGGACTCCGATTTATATCAGTGAACTCTGCGATTGTTCGTTGAGACTCTCTGGATGTATGTCAAACTTCTATACCAGCTTGACACTTTCATAGAATGGTATTGACTCGATACAGACAACCTACGTCGCAATCATGCGCTTGTAAGCGTACCACGTACATCTGAGTTCTAGAAACGCTAGAATGTCTGACGTACTATCAGAATGTTTGTAATTAGCTATTGATCCATACGAACGAATACAGAGACTGCAAGAGGAAAATAAAACTTTGTCTACTAAACATCAAAACAATAACAAACAAAAGGCTTGACAGCAGTGACCGAATTACATCTCAGACAAACCATCTGTTTGGCGTTCTATACCTCAACATAGAAATAAGCAGAGTCTCAATTCTTTCTAATTACACTGGCAATCGGAATAACGTTTCGTCACACACTAAGAGTCCATATGTGGACTGGGAACCTATTTCTTCGGTACGTATCAGGGAAGATGTGGTAAGCACGATATTCGTTCGTGTACCCTAGAAAATAGTGCCACTTCGGCACAGCGGGCAAAAAAATGGCGTATACTTGGTCCAATTTTGACGGTCGTGACGGCTCTCCTTCATAATAAATGAAATCCGTTCGAACACGGCAGGCAGTCGGAACTGGTGCAACGCAAACTCGACAATCGAACGCCCAAGCTTCCTTGTCTAAAAGGACAAGATCGGAACCGATTGCGCATAACGATCGGCGCCATTTTTAAAAATAGGTAGATTCGAAGCGGACGTGTTTACGTTCACAAGTACGTTGCAACGTCGAAACTTAAACGCAGAATTTCCACAAACGATTAGGTGATCTACTTTAACAGTCGTGACGCACTCAATGCCATCGACGTCGATGACGATAATCACACTATCAGTCATCGGTCGACAGGTGTGCTTCAACGACAAAGCAGATTTCTATGACAAAGTGCCGATCTTCGTGACAACACGTCACTCAAATGCTTGGGTACTATTATTTTACTGGGTCTGAATTTAAAAGGAAACGCAGAACGATTGCTTAGACCGATGGATTTCAAAGCATCGACCGACGATATTGCACTTTGTATAAATAAATATTTACATCACTGGCATATAAATGAATACAGAAGCGTTCAATTTATAGAGGCTTGTTTTAGTGCTTTTTTTTTACGATCGACATCATTCCCTATATTCTGAGCCTATTCTCACGACATCTTTTAACAATAACCGAAATCAAAGCTATCATACGGTAATATCTAAACAGCTAAACATCTACTGGTCTGATCCGCCAGTTTCTAAAGTGGACCTCACGAGCTTCTCCTGACATCGGTATATCGCGGTCTGCTTCAATCGAGCCTTCACCAACAAGCATTGATAATGATTGTTTGTGACACAACGCCCGCTCAGTACTATGAACTGCCTGATCAACAAAACGATGAGATAAGTTTAAGCGTAAATGGAACACTCCGTTTGAGCAAAACACTTTGAAGAAATCTACTTTTCGCTGACGATCCTAACGAAAAAATTAAAGATGTCTCAGTAAATCTGTTGGGGTATCTTGACACTGTAAATGCTGCTGTGACGGATCAACGGGGCTACGAGCAACAATGGCGTCTACGTCGAATTGCCGACAAGTGTTGCATCCCGACTTAATCTTTTCTGCCACCATTTGCGACAGACAAAGCAGTCGCCTAAGCACACATGTATAATATGTTGAACACACATTTACCCACTATTGTAAATACTTGTTGCGCGTACCATTATACGTTGCTATTTACTGCATAATGTTGCTTACTATTGGCCGGGTAACAAGCAGTAATTTGTTGCATAGCAGAAATGACAAAACAGAGGTATCATCTGTTATAGGTTTGCCCGTATGCACTTTGCTTTAGGTAGTATACACATCTTCTATAGCGATCAGGATCCGGACACAAACCCAGCGGAAGGTGGAAACATCAGGCCAACAAAAGCCTTTTCCTTAGCGTTTTCGCACTTGGGGTTCCGATAAATTACCATGCTCGTAAGAGTTTTTTCGGTCGCGCGAATCTGCCCGAGTTCGCTTTAAACTAGCGTGTATGTCACTGATAGTTGGTATACCGTATTTTTTCGACGCAGCTAAAGTACACGACACCGCTAAATGTACATCTATTTGAATGCATATTTAAAATAAACCATCCATCTATAAAGAGTACCAGTTGGTTTATCGTTCTCAACCTTGCGTCAAGTTTCAATGGTATCGAACATTAGATGACGTATTTTTAAATTTTCTGATAGTGTTTGAATTGATTGCCTACTTTCTAGGCCAGCCCTGAGCCTGATGTCAACAAGGCCAAATGTCAACTAGACCAGTAGCTTCTTTGCGTGCTAAGCTATTAGTTTACCGTAAACCATCACTGAAACGGTTCGTTCTGTGGCACTCGGGCGCGTTTGAACCCGTGAACAATTGGACGTCAAACGTTTTACGTTAGAATTGGTTTGCAGTTTATTTATACAGGTTGTTACGGCATGTACCTGCGAACGATACGAATTTATTTATTTATTTATATGCGTCTATTTGAATGAATCATAGCACGAGCAATGCTTTTGCAGTAGCGAGCTCAAAACAAAGGTGGCCAATAATAAACGACTGGCACAACAAGAATATAAACGCCGCAAAGTGGACCAGTTGCAAAAGTTAGGTTAATCCATATACGTCATAACATAAACTTGAACTTCTATTATATCTTCTGATTAATTTCTCTGTAGTGTAGAGTGCGGCATTGTTAAGAGCGGACTTTTTTTTACTTTCGATTGTATAATAGTCGCTCATACAAAGAGGAGCCAGAAAGGCGTCCCAATTTGAAAATTTTTGCGGTTTCTCGGATATGCGACTTATACGACATTTTACGAATACAAGTCAGCGTATATATATATATACACGACTATAACAGAGATAAACCTTGAACGCTTAAACAGTTCCTGGCATCGTTCTCCATGAAATCTGCGATGATCTTGGTAAGCGTGCAAGCTGCGCTCGAAACTAGATAGATGCTGTAATGTAATGCGTAGGGCACGGGAAGGCGCCTGGATTGCCTTTGTGCTCAAAAATGGTAAGCGTATAAGTCTCATTCAGAAGAAGCGGCGTATCGCACGTACTAAAGGCAAATGCTAAGTAGTGTCAAACGTGGTTTGCAAGGTTATCATTTCGACGCCTAAAAACAACAAGACCCTAGTCTCCACGACACTCCATGGGGGGTGTGAAATGAGGTGTGAAGAAGTCCATCCGTAGGTTGCTATAGTGATTTTTTTTCTCACTGTTTCGGCCGTAAGGCCACGTGAGTGCGGCGAGTGAGTGAGAGAAAAGTGAGGTGCACTATTGCGATGTGATATATCACAAAGTTCAGGAGCGCGCTTGAAGCAAGGCCGTATACCGTACGAAGCCATAATTTGGCTCGTTTATGTCGAGATCTGCCAGTCATTTTTAGAACGGTATACGGGAATGCTCGTAGTCTGTAGGACAAGGTGCGGCACAGCGCCCTGTGCATGCTGCTCGTCGACAATGTACGGTAAGGGTGGACGCAGTATATTCTATATAGTGACAATGTCAAGTTGATTATGTCTATCAACAATGCCGAGAGTCATGCCGCGTTTCAATTATGTCTCTATCTGAAAACTTTAGCTTGTTCATGAAGCTACAGGCGCCGATTCTCGACGTCGAGGCTGAATTTTTAGGGCAAAATTGTTTTCTAACGTATTGTTAAAGCGTTCGACGTTTAGTCCAAGCTTTCCATCCGCCTACACAGTATGAAGTCCACGCCGTAAACTTGCTCCGTTATGTACTCAGAATCGGGAATATAATTAGACTGAACTTCATTAGAGAAATAGAATAAGGGTCCTCCAAAAAAAGATATCATGTCATAAATTACAGTTTGGTCTTAAACTAGTTAGGCTAGATGAATGGGAAATGAAGAGGAATTTGATCAATTCGTTTTTCCATCCTAAAATCATGGCTAATGACGGGAAGATTAGCCACTCTCTTTATCACTATGAGGTGCATGGTGGAGCAAGTGCAGCGTAGACCATTACGGGCTAAATAATATAACTACAATGTGAAATTCAGGATTGTAATGTCGTCGTAGGCCCTCCTTTTGAGCCAATTTACTATTAAGACCTGCAATTGGATAATGTATTCTTTAAAATTACCTTAAGCAAAATGGACACGTATGAGCCCATACCGAGCCCAGCAAAGTGTGCCTCGATTATCCTTTACTATCATAAGGCATTCCATTAGAATTTGGTTCAGTGTACATGAAATTACCGTACGCAGAGCATCACCGGATGTCGTATTCCAACACCGAGATAACAAAAGGCGACGACTCCTTTCAGTTAGGATAACCCTTTACGTTGCGGTGAACCACGATTCGCTATGCTAAGACGAAGATGAGCGGTGGCTATAGCTTGTAACATCCTAGCTCCACCGACCTCAGTTCCTCCTTGCCGGACCATTAGGTTGTTCGAGACAGCGGTGACGAATCTCTAAGAACGCATCCAAATCCTTGTGCTTCTATATCGTATCATAGAAAAAGTGATAAACTCCACGCTCAGAACCTCATCAGGACTTAGTACCGCAATGCATTCCTTCTAATCGGATGAAAACATTTTTCTGATGGCGTGGTGTTTGCTACACTGTTGCCCAGGGCGCCCCAGTTCGCCGCGTTTACGTTGGACTTGCATTGCAACCACTACGAAATACTAACAAACGCAGCAGCGCGATTTTGTCCTTCTACCACCATAATAGGACCACTGGCGTTGTAAGGTAAAGTCATTAATACATTTGCCAGTATCCAATCTGTATTAGTCTTATATCATGTTATTTTATTGCACGGTATCACACGACGAGCTCTTTGCGGAACCATTTCTACGAACAGCGCGTCATCTGCTTTCAAGCTATGCACGAACTGTTCTTCTGTCTACGACGCACCCTGTTGCCAAAGCATGAGAATTCACTGAAATAGCTACACAGTCGAAAAATAGGGAAAGCTATTTTAGCTGATGCCAAATGTCGGCCGGGGCAAAGACCTCAAATGCGTGTTTGTGTGTACGACATTTGCTGGCCAAATATAGAGAAGCGTACGCAGTGTTTCAGATGGCTAGAATATGAGTTGCCGAGAAGTTTTTCAAACATCAGACAGCCAGCCAGCTTAGTCGAACCTTGATCATCAATCCGTAACGGCGCTTCCCATAGCAGCGTCTTTGCAGCGATTGTCCTGAATAGGTTTTCTGCAATAGTGTGCGTTTGCTTGCCCTTGATCAATATGCAAAAAGTTCGTCAGGCACAAGCGTGGTGTATTTTTATTTCGAAGCTAATAGGAAAAATTTGTTTAATTTTTCTTTAGTAACGGCGACTGATTGTAGTTGTTTCTCAAGGCCTTACCGATCGCAAACACAGTAAAAGAAAACAGATAAAGTAAAATACATTTTCTCCGATTTTCTGCAACGGATCATACAATGGCTCGCGCTTCCGCTTTAAAAGTCCTAATTTTTTTTTCAGGAAAAAGTGGCTCATGTTGGCCTTCTTCCATGAAACTATAAATTTAAACCTAATCTCGAGTATGTTGAACCCGATTATTCAAACATAACCTAGACGCTGTGCAACAATGATAAAGATTGTAAATTCAACATACACCGCTTCTGAACCACGGAATCGAAAAGAAAGGATGTGTACAAGCATATCGACCGATAGTAATGTAACCATTTTGCTTATAGCGTCTTCAGATTACCGAACATATCAAGAGATATCGTCGATAACTGGGTCGCCCATTGTTGTCGACGAGCTTCAGAGGTGGCCGCATACGCGCAACAATGGAACACTCATCATTGAAGCCAATCAATCAATTCATCATTAAAATACGTGACGGAATATCTCGGAGCCAATCAATCAATTCATCATTAAAATACGTGACGGAATATCTCGGAACACAATAGCAAATGGCAACCTGTATAGTGACGGCTGCCGTAATGACAGTGATAAACTTGCCTTTGTCATGACATAGCTGTACTAAGTGATCGCTTGTATACTATAATATTAAAAAAAAAAATATGTATACTATATTATATAGTATGGTATACCATTTGAAGCAAAAGTAGCACGGAAAAAAGTAAGCCTGTTCGACGCAGTTTGACCTGGAGGGCTAGCTACTATTAATTGATCAATTAAATAATCTGTGTTCGAAATAATCAGTGTAATACGATTATTTAGTTCTTTCAGAAAGAAGCTCTTATGTCTGTCTTCTAGTGACCGATTGATTGTCCGTAGCTTTTGAGTGAGATGCTTGAGGATGTTTCTCCGTACGCAAGTGATATCTGCAACATTTTCCTCTGTCTAGATAACATATTTTACCATCTTTCAACCGTGACATCTGCGCGACCAATATGTTGACATCCTTTGAACTCTCGCGCGAAACACCCAACGGATAGTGCAGACACACTACTCTCCTAAAACGACGCCCACACCGAATTCAGCTTCTGACTGCCGCGTGCTTTACGCTATCAGAAGTGTCGTGCGAGTTAGACACGCGTACTCTCGTTTAGAAACAAGTGAATGAATGATCCAAACATTGTGGTCGCCAATAAATAGTCAAACAAACCCGTATTTAACGCTTTCAACGCGACGAGTTCCCCCGTCGCTAGTTGAAACCCTGCAAGCTTACATGATATCTCTACACAGTATATAATGTCATTTACACTTGTGACATTTCATTGTGGATTATCCGGACACGTACGTACACCCATACAACTACTTAGACGTAGGGCTGTGCAATACGCTACTCAAATAGAAACAACTTCCTGCTAATGAAGGTTATTAATAAATCATTGCGTATCTATTTGGCACCCTTCGAAGCGTTACATATACACTATATTTTACTTGTGGAGAAAAGCTTCTTATTTAATCCATCAAATTACTATTAAGTATTAAACATAGGTATTCAGTGTTTATCTCGGAAATATCTCTTAGAATGGGTTCCATCGCACCTCCGTCGTACTACATGCACTCCTTTGCTTCAGGATCTTCCTACTGATATTAGCCGTTTGCGGGAATGTCGCTACTAGCCTTTTAGACAACGCTGGCCACATTCCATTCGAAGTTAGCACAGCCAAGTTGCAGGTGCCTTGTGCCCCGACTTTTTTCTCCATTCGCTCTTTTTTGCCAATTTTCAACTTTATTGGTAACACAACACAGGTATGGCAGGCAAGCAGGAGTCAGAAGAAGCGATCGACAACGCGCAAATATATTTTCCATCATCCCAGCTTACCCCTGTTCGATACTCCTGCCTTAATAACGTTTCACCATTTGCAAGCATCTACTGCGATCGCCATGGCGACCGCCATAGCTACAATTCGACTGAAGCCATCGTCAGGATCTGCTGCGAGCGCTCTATCGACTAGTGGAGCGACGGTTGCGACAGCAGTGAGGACCGGCAAAAAATTCCAGTGCCGGTACTCACATAGCGGCGTACAGTCACTCAGCCGTCCACGCGCAGAGCTTTCGTCTGTTTCTCCCCGTTCTTGATCTCCGCGATCTCTTTGGACAGTCTTCCAATCATCAAGTCCGCCAATCTTAGAGAGCTATGTTCGTTTATCAACATTCGTTTTCGCCTCGTTGCTTACTCAACGCTCGGGCCGCCCATCAGAGGTAGATGAGTGCCTGCTTTCCCTCACGGACTGATCCCCGGCAGGTCCCCACGTGTCTCGCATCGTCATCAACTTCAGACGTATTCAGTGTTCCCGTGTGGATCCTCATCAAGCCACCCGGATTCAGTTGCTCCCTGCAGACCATCCGGCATCTCTGTTATACCCAATCACAGCATCCTCCCACGGCCGACGACCTTGCCCCACCACACTGGCGTTTTCGCGCTAACAGATACGTTACACTTTCACACTCAGATGCAGAGACAGATCAAACGAAAGATGGCACCAGACAATAATATTTCTACTGATACTATGAACGCTTTGACGGCTGTCACCGTGGACGCACACTGTTGCCACGGCATTTGGCATCGGTACAGAGAACCAGCTTCAAGCCCACTATTGCGACAACGCCTGCTTTATTAGGTACAATAACTGCTGCAACAACGATACAAACGCGCATTGTAGTAGGCAAAGATCCGAAATAGCTTACCTGCTGTATCGTAGGACGAGTGACGACCGATCGTAACCATGAATCAGGCCTATGCTGAAGTAAACGCATGAGACTGTGTTTTAATACGGCACGAGATGGAAAGCCAGAGGCCTACTACCATATGCTGTTACTGCTACACCTGTATATAGGAGCTTCGATGCTTTGAGGAGTTGGCAAGAAACCATTGTTTTCACTTTATTGGGCTATGGGCCCCCGACCATTAATTTGATCGTCAATAATACCTTAAAGTATGTGCAAAAGTGGCCTAAACCACGTATATAAATGTATGTACGTATGTACATACTATACGTATGTAAAAAGAAAAAATTGCTTTTGCTTGGGTTTCAAGCTTGTGCACACTTCGGAAGTACTGAATTATGTTACGCAATATTCGGTCAGTGACTTAAAAACTACTTACGTTAAATGTAGTACTAAGAAGAGGAAAAATCCCCGATTGTGTACCGATTGTGTAAAAATCCGAGACTGTATGTTTGTTTGAAAATATGCCCGATATTCGGTAACATCTATGTCACCCTTTTTATTAGAATCAAAAGCGTGCTATGGCTATCCGTCGCTACTTTAGGCATCTGATACGCTCTTATTGGGCTGGCACCTAAAGCAGTGAATACTTTTTTAGAACTAGTACGTCTAGTTAGAATCAAGTGAAGGGGCAAAATCTAACCTTGACGCGCGGATATTTGCAGATCCCATCATTACAGGGAAATTACAGTCGTAGAGGTAAAATCAATATATCGAGCAGAATGACAGCTTTATTTGATTTATTATTTGTTGTTCCATTCATTTGTAGGAAGATGGCATTTTTAGACTTACCAGCACAAAAATACTCCGACGATTTCCCATGGTCCTATTGATAAAAAATTCCTTTTACGAAGATTTATCGGTAGTAGTCGCCCGAGCGTAGTCTACTATCGGCTTTGACATACCGTATCCATAAATGTTGTACACAGTCTACAATAGATAGCAAAGGAAAAAATAAATATAAAAAATTTAAGTTAGTTTTTATTTTGTTATTGTAATGCAATACATTTTTCTTCATTTAGGCAGTGAAAGGTCTCCGCCTGTATGTGTAACTAACATTCGACCCTTTACTTATTAAATGGCATTTATGCAGCTATAGAACAGCAAGACTCATCCACTTTCTCCAGTTTTGATCCACGTTACGTGGGTGAGAGAAAGTCCTTCGTTGCTCACCAGAAACCACCAGATTAATTTATTTTTTCTCATTGTATAAATTTTGCCCGCAGTGACGGTTCTAATAAGGCTTTTCTACAAATTCTATAGGTGGCAACAACGAGGTATCCCAATGAGTTAACCACTGCTAGATTCATTATGGTAACGTGTGCATACGGTAGGCCACGAGTCAGGTCGGATCTAGACGAATGCTTTGTAAAAGCCTACGCCACTTGAACTAACTACAGACTTACTGAAACAGAGCAGAGTTGGAGAAGCAAACCAAGCCAATAATAGGATATATGTGAGTAAAACAGATAGTTGCAGCGTGGAGCATGTAGCATTTGAGTTTACATTATGTATGAGCATGTAGCATTTAGTTGACAAGTATATTTCCTTATACATGCAATAACGAAACTGATCATAACATTGAAATACTTTACTAGTAAAGGTATCGCTTTAATTCCACAGCTCATTCGTATATCATAAATTAGATGATGTGAAATAAAGGCGCAACCGTGTAACGTAACTAAGCGTCACAGAAATGCGACATGCATCGTCTCATCAGCACACGATCCCTTGGTAAAACATACCCCTGAAAACAAAAACAAGCTGAAACTTAGAGACTTATCTGTGCATTCCTTTTTTCCACAAAGACTGCAACACTCAATTATGTGTTCAATCGTTTAATTGTGTAGGTAAGGTATAAGTCACCGGTGAGGACTGTGCCTGGGGAAGCGAACACGGGCCGCGTGACGGCCTTCGAGTCGGCAGCAACCGCGTCAGTGACCAGAATCGGGAAATAGTTCTGGCTGAGAGACAACAACGTACTGACAATAATAAAGAGAAGCCGAGAGGCCCTATCTTCTATTTCTTATTCTTTTTCCTCTTGCCAGCAGCTGTCCCACTACTACACTTTGAGTACCTCGTCCACTTCGATCCACTGGCATCGTGCTGTATCCCACTTCCGATGGGGGCTAGCTGGGTTCACTTTTAGGTGGACAGACTTTACGGAAGGGGGTAAGAGACGAGAGGGAGACACGATAAGCAGAAAGGGGGGTCACCCCTAATGTAGACTGGGGTGATGTCAGAATAACCCCCGCACAACCGACGAGCGCAAGAGAAATTCAGTAGTAGTATAATTGTACGTAGGGTTAAGGCTAAATAGAAGGTGACGAGGGCGCCAAGGGCTAGGTCACATGGAAAGGCTTCGTGACATCGACGAAAGACTGACTAAGCCTTGGCGATAGAATGACTGTGGTGGACGTACTCCTAGGCGCACCCCACTACATGCTCGACATTTGCCGTCCCTCTGACACAAAAGCTAGCGCAACGAAACTGTCAGACTAATCGGCCCAAGGATGGTGAAAGAGACCGAGCAAAATGGAATGTCTGGAATGCTCCGCTGACATGATAAAGAGTACTCACGCCTGTAGCCCCATTTTCGTCAGAAGCGCACGGAAAAGCAAGGAGAGGCCCAGGCGTGAGGCCATATGACACTCACATGAACGCGAGAGCGGGACTTACTCTCTATGTACCGCTCTCGATATGGTGGCCACACATAGGGTGGCCATAGTGGCCATAACCATTGGACATAAAATGGCGATAAGCACCGTTTGAGTAGAATCGACGAGCGAACAGATAGGGGGCAGCGGGAGAATTATTTCTATAAATGCATATTAAAGCCTTTATTTGGTTAGTCCATCATTCGCGTCGAATTTGCGCGGCCCCAACAACACCGCGACGCCTCTCCAAAACCTAGGTTTTCACCTCTTTCGGCGATACCCGACAAGCGACGATACGGAGTAATGGGACTAGATGAAGGGAAACTGTCAGCTCTGCATAAAACAAAGAACGACGGACCAGCGGGACAGTCGAATAAACGAAAATCAGCGTTAGCGCTTTAGGACCACAAAGTCTTTGAACATGCTTAAACATAGGAGAGAAATGCGCAGGTCTGACCCTGTAAAAACCTATCTCATTGTGTACTTTTTGATCTCTTGCAAAAAATCGAGTCAAATAAAGAGCAGAGTGAAGTAAACGAAGAGGGTGATTAAATCAAAAACTAAACAGAGTTACTTAGCAGGTGTCGGGGCCGTTTGTAGCGCCATTCGATGATTGTGTGTATTTACAATAGCAGGTGCTAGCAAGGCAAACAACATCAGGAAATTGAAGAATACCCGAGTCAACCTGTTCGTTACGAAGTTGTTTCTTTTCTTGGATCAAATACACTAACCCCAGTGAAAGTTTAGATACCCGCTCTAAGAAGTTAACTTTAGATTAGAAAAATTTAAACACTGTCTCATTTACATTTCAGGATTTATCGGATGAAATAGGTCCCAGACCTAAGAACGGGTTGCACATGACATAAGGATAACATGCTCGATTTTTACAAGAATATATATTAGGACTTCATCCTATCGATAGTTCACTGGAAGCAAGCACCGTCCAAGCTTCGAATCAGTATCAGTCTGCCTGCCCAAAGTATGTGCAAATAAACGTATGTTGAAAAATACTCACAATTAGCCTAGTGCTGAAGTATATATCCCGACCCGTTACCTAGCGCTGTAAGATGAACTTCTATAAGTTGCGGACCTCGTCTTACAAACAGGGGTCGCAATTTCCTTCATCAATGATCTGACTTAAAAGTTCTGTAGTATGTTACACTTCGAATTCGTGTTGATATGCTGCATCCAATATTGTCCATACTCTATTTGAAAGTTAGTCGGATTTTTAATGGGAATATCAATATTGACAAAAGGCAATAATTCCATGTCTTTTTTTGCCATAGAAATATTTAACTACACGGTATTGCAATAGTTTCTAGAATTAAAAAGTCGTCCGTGCTGTGCAGGTACGCTGCTGAGCAATGGGAAACACACAGTGTTTGAATGTATTCCTCGAATAATATGATAAAGAAGTTAGGGGTTAGTTAGTTAGTTTTTTTTAAAACATATATTACGCTATAGCCAGCTTGGGAACAACTGGTAAATTCGAAGTGCCCTTACAATGTCCATCAAGCTCAGACTCGCTATTACGAAGCGAAGTAGCATTTCTTCGTTCGTTGACATCGTTTTATTACGAAAAGCTCACCATGTACTTCAGAAAGAACATGAGCAGCAGCCAAGTAAAGAACATGTTGTCCTATACTTCAGTTGTAGCATCTACAAGAGCGGGACTTCATTCACTACTCTACCATTTGTACATATATACCCTTAATAACAAATTATAGAATCATTACATTTCTCCATGTCCGACCCTTGCCTTACTTTTGCAATCCCGAATCGAATTGCAAAAGCACTTGTGCGCAAGGTACACAGTAAATGCACCCTTTAGAATTGAATATCTTATCGCTTACTTACCATCACCGGAAGTTCCATTTGCCGCCGCAGTTCGTCCCCCAGTCTGGCCGCTGTTCCGCCGTGTCGCCTAGCCCCATTTCGCACCACGCATTTAAGCTGCTGAGAAGTGCTTTGCAAAGGCTTGCGACTGGAATGCGCACTCACTTCTCCCACCCGATGGGCATGATGAGCGCCCCGACGAGCTCGTCTCAAGCTAGGCTGGCTGGCCTCGCCCGAAGCGCACGAGCACATACGGAAATATTTATAATATCCCTCAGTTCTGCTCTGCTTCCCTTGCCAGTTTGGTAGTGTCTGCTGTCCTTAAACCATTGTTCGTTAATCTCCGAGGCGTTCACGGCTGCTGCCGCCCCCGCCATGCCTACATCTCGGGGCACCCACACAGACACACATAGGCACACACATTGACATGATCATACGGAGATCATCGTGCGGGAAACGACGACTTAGGACAACGGCAAACAGGCACACAACGAACAGAGAGCGAAACGGCAGGAGATGTGCCCATAGAAGTAATATCTTCATCTACTTTAGCTAGCTATGATAATATGGCGATATATGTAGTCTTCCTAGTCGATTCATCGTCCCCTCTGGTCAAGGATAATAATAGCTTTAGCCTAGGAAAACGGACGGGGAGCGGGCATCACGGTGATAATCATAATAATAATAATAGCGCTACTACTAATGCTGCTCCACTTATCGTAATAGTGACAAGTCATTGGAGTTCGGTAAGCTACGGGAAAGATTGTGGGGGCGCGGAGGTTCGGATTAGCAGAACAACGTCGCACGAGAAATGGAAAACCATAGACAGAAGAGATGGGCCATTCAGATGAATAATATTATCCTTCGGCCTATTCAGGCTAAAGGAAGCGAACGCGAAGATGAATAGCGGGATAGAATACGGATAAAGAGAATGTTATGATACTTTTATTTCTATTGTACTACACGAGAATATATGAAGAGACGTTAAGATAAGTACGTTTGATAGACCTGGATGAGTCAAATTGGTCAGCATCAACGTTTATAGTGAGACATGACCGGCCAGGAAGGACAAAGGTGGAGAGAAACACCACTTCAATGCCATTTCAGTATACGGTTTCGCGCTTTTAGACGGTAAATTTAGGCTAATGTGCACCTAAACTCTTCCCCGTATTAAAATAATTCGATAGACCTAACTACATCGATATTACCTATTAACTGATCAACATTGCTATTAAACCTGAGTGTTTGTGGGCTTTTCTGTGTATCTAATTCCAAAAATAGACACCCCGGATAAGTTGCACTGAGCCGGTTGTTTTTTTCGCTAAAGGCTCACCTTAAAGTTAGGTGGGGCCTAATGGATCAGAATTTTACCGCAACGAGGCTTCTTTTTCCTATCGAGCTTAATTCATGCAATCCGCTCAACAATCGTTCTTAAAAATCCGTGTTGTAAAGTTGTTTGCTTCGTCAAACTCTTCAATACTTTTACAACATTGTTTTTTAGGATTATTTTTTTAATTTTACACATTTTTTTCACATTACATACAACAAAATTCCATTGTTAATGAACTATAATCCATTGCAAGCTATAATTCATGCTCCCTAAGTGGATCAATACCGTATGCCAAGGCAGCTTCTCTTTCTTACAGAAAGTTACAGAAAGCTAATTTGTACAGACAAACCTATTTTGGCGTTTTGTTCCACAACCAATTTTCTCAAAAATTGCTTGTTTTTTTAGAGTTTCATAAAATTCATACTATTGACAATATTTATACGATCATTTTACGATGAAATTATGATTTTTGTGCAGTTGGCTATTGTAAACGTTGATGTGAACATAGTGTCAGAACCTTGTATTCGAAATTTTTTATAACGACGATGTGGCGGAAAAATTTAAATATTTCCCGTTGAACCAAATCTGTTCATTAAAAAAAAAGTAACTAAATATGCAAATGACCTTACTCAACCGATGTGTTGAGTAAGTTGTGTGCGGAGTGTTTGTCCTCTGATGCTCGGTATATATATATATATATATATACTCGTATGCGTAACAGACCGCATAGAGCCCATTATATCGTAAACAGATAGACATGAAACATAAGCTTTTGTATGTTTATGGAAGGAAAGCTCATTTCCAAAAAACCACTACTTCTGGTTCTGATGCTTTCTCCGATGTCACGGCCAGCGCGATTTATGGAGCCACCATAGAGTATGATGCGCATTTCCCAAGATCTGCTGTAGAAGCGATGTAAACAATTCAAAAGTCCGCGTATGATCTAAGCATTCTCGCTGGAAAACCTCGGAGAGTCGGCTAAGACAAAAGGCACTGATGGATCAACGTAGAATACTCGCTATTGTCAGTTATTACTATTGTTATTATTCTGTTGTTATTATTATAGCACGCGGTTGAAAACAATTGAAAAACATTCGTAGCCTATATTAGGAGAAGGTGTCTGCTTTAAGCTGGAGTGTTTTGGTGGAATCTGTGTGACTGTCACTATATAAACGAGATGATATTCTCTGAGATGTAATACATTCAACCAGTATTGTCGAAGTTGTTATAGCATTATCGTCATCACATGCTTTAATGAGCTGAAATGGCGTTATTGGACTAAACTAAATTGACGGTATTCTTTGTGCTGTGCTTGAGTGAGAAGCAGCACCATTTAGACGACATCGTACGAGAAGTCTGTCCTGTCATTAAGAAGAGATCGTCTTGTGATCCGGTTGCATGACGAGTTCGGTTATAACGGTATTACAAGGAGAAGGTGTATGTCCTAGCCATATTGCGTGACGAACTATAGTGTAGCCACGTATACTAGATATAACAAAAGTTGTACAATGCTTACATTCTCTAGAAATCCATGCTAAAAATAATGTTGTATCTCTGTTTTAAGTTCTGCTTTGTTGACCAATAGATCTGGCCTGTGGCATGCAACAGAGTAAACCCAAGCTGTATTATGTGAAGGCCTGTGTGAAAATTGTTTGACAAAGTATGCCTGATTAGTATTGCGCAGAAGGCTGCATTCAAACTCTATTATATGAGCAAACCTTCTGAAGATAACTGAAGTAGAACATAACAGAGTTCCACGTAAAATGCATCAGCAGATGTCCACGGATAAAATTTATGATTATGTCAAGTGGCGATCAATTCCGAATCCTTTGAATCTACCTTATCGATTCACACGACAGCATTGGACGTTGTTCATAAAACTTTTACGTCAGTCGATCGGTTAAGATGTACTAAGCGTATATTGAAACAACAACAACACTTATTATATTGTCTACCTAACAGAAGCGAAAAAAGTATATCCGAATAATTGTAGGAGACGTACGTTACTTTTGACCCTGTGCATCAAAAACGTCCCTCCGCTCCTGCGAAATAATGCCCAATTATGAAGTAGCGTGTAAAGTTGGCATTATTGCTCAAAATGCCACTGAGTCAGGTGTAACCCTGCGACATTGCGGGACGATCCACGCGTAACAGGAACAAGTAAAAAAAAAAACAGGTTGCACACAATTTCCGGATCGTATCGATCCTATGGGTTTCCGCAATTGATACTATTGTTTTGATTCATTAAAGTCAGAACTGTGGGCTACGAACAGAGTAAAAAAATAAACAAACAAAAATACACATTGAATTGCCAGCGTGGTCATATGTTGTTATCAGCCGTCCCTTTCGATAATATCTGGTGAATACGATGGCAAAAATTGAAACTGATCGAAGAAAAAAGCTAAGTCAAAAAGGCGAAAGATCTCTCTCATAGGTGACATACAAGAGCTGGTTAGCGTCACAAACCGCGATTATGGACTTGCAGAGGCTGGTAAACGTTCTATTCGACTGTTGTCAGTCAAAGGCGGCTCAAGATGCATGGTAGAATACCCTCAGTTGTTGTAAAGACAAATTCCCGAAAAAATGCTAATAATGACATTACATTTCGTGAAAACATTGCGGCTTTATCAACCCGACAGCATCGTTTAGAAATCCTGGCATGATTTTTGCCAAGAAATGCATGTTCTTTCCTTTTGATGGAATAGCCCAAAGTGTAAAGCATATTTGCATTGAAGTAATCCGTAGAAATATCGGAGAATATCGTTCGTTTAATCAAGTTAGAAAAGATATCGATGCGATGCGTTTCCTTATAGAATTCCTCAAAAGTCTTGAGGTATTTAAATTATCCCTTCAAGACCTACAACGAAAAAACCGTTCGCCAATTATCAATGAAGAACTATTAACTTCTTCAGCAGTACGTACGTGACGGGTCATGGCATGTTCAATTACTTTATTTTTGCAAAGGTATCAGCCGTATCCCCGGACGTCTTCGCGCTTCGAATGATTACTCTCAGGACTTGGCAAGACGATGAGGCCCCCCTTCGGCGACGTTAGTTTCGCTTATAATAACGCTTTGCTTTAATAGTTCACAAATCGCTATAACGAAGAGCGCAAAATGTCTTCATCAATTTAATCAACTACCTGTGGTTTCGACCAGACCCTCAGTCCTTTGCCAAGCTCTCAGAGTCTTCCTTAAAGAGGACAGGAGAAGAAAACTATTGACGTCGGTAGGGACTTGCAGTGAAATTTTAGTGGATGAACTTCGCCAGAGATTCTCTTATTCGCTAGTTTACAAACATGCAATTGTGCCAGTTCACGCGTATATGGAAACGAGGCTTTCCGATTTCGTTTAAGCCATCGTCAACAAAGAAACATTATCTGATTCAGGACAGAACATCATAGAATGAAGCGGGCGCTCTACCAAATGATTCTTTTCACGATGATCGAAAAAAATTTGAAGGTGAAACAAGTTTTAGGCTTAGCAAGGAAACACTTGAGTTACCCGCTGTAGCTCACAGTGTAGGTATAAATATTAGTTTAGGCTTTGTACAAATTAAATAAAACTGGTCAACCGAGGTGGCGCGAAGTCTTCGGTCTAATAGGGGTTAAATAATCAGTGTGACAGCAAGTTACTGGATGAGAGAACAACGTAGCTGCGCCTCTGTCAATGAATCGAAGTTTTCGCAGTCAATCCAAAAAATCTTTGGGCGACCCAAGTAAATGTTCTGTTCAGCTTGATGGTCATGATTAAGCAAACTATGGGCGGCACGAATCAGTAAACCTACGGAAACGGGCTAGTATTGAACAACTGCGAGTGTTTACAAAAGCTACTTTGTACAATAATAATACATTGTAAACATGTTTATTACTTAACTCAGCTTATTTTTCGTAGGTGTCGTTAAAAATCACCATAATAAACATATACTATGTCTTAATGGTTTTTTAGGCTGGTAATGGGATGGCTCTTTAGAAGGAATGCAAAGGCAGTCAAATGTTTTTATTTGTAAATATTATTCGCTATTAGCTGTTTCGTAGATTTAAAATGAACACAAATCATGAATAATTTAAGCTCTTTTATTAACAGATTTGTCATTGCGCCGAAGTGTTTCGAAAAATTTGCTTATCGTAAATACGCATTGTAAGCTTTACTTGAGCCCACGTTTCAGATGTAGACCTGCTCGAAGCGACTCCTCTTTCTAATAACGTTCGAATCTCGCGCCACGTTCCTCTTTCACTCAACAGCCACAGTGAACCACAAACACTTCAACAGCAATATGGTGGCGCGCATCACTCGTAAAGTTGCCTGTCACCGAATATTAATCGTTTGACGGTGGGCGAGCAGTCGCTATATTTGCCGTTCCCAAACAAAAATCCTGCGAAGTGAGTAGAGAGTTGCTAATCTCTCAACGATATGACCGTTCGAGGCGCCAGCCAGTGTTTCGTTCCGTTGATTTCAAATGACAGACCATCGGGCCGATGGTCGACCCATCAAACCGGTCTGGTCGGTGTACGATTAGGAGGGAATGGGTCCACGTTATGCCGGTCAGGACAAGCATAGTCTACTGTATTTGTTTTTATTGCTTTACCTGCCTATATTGATGATGTCAAAAAATATGAATGGCCTTACATTTCTTACAATGCTCATTCAACTCGTGTTCTCGAGCAGTACGTAATATCGATATACATAAAAGCACATGACTGAACTGAAAAAATATTGATATATTTATGTCAGTGATAGTCGTCCAGTTGTTCATTGCCAGTATGGGTAGCTGAAGTAGCGTGGACTTATCCTCTGGGGAAGTCGTCGGCAAGCATGTTTGAAAACCTACGTAGAATAAGCCGAGTATCCATAAGGGGAATCTCTGTTTGGACGTGCAAGTACATGCTCGGACCATTATTTGAATCTTGTCATGAAAGCATAGGCTTTGATTCAAGGCGAAAGCTTACACTATCCTACCTACAACAAAAAGAGGTTTCCTTTATAGGCCCCACGTGGATTCTGATTGGAAAAGGTTGCATTTTACGAATGGTGTTGATGTCTTGACACTAACGAAGCATCGGGGAGGCGGCTGTAAACCCATTATCCGCTCCATAGTGGTGTATCGTGGACATTCTGTAGCCAGTGTTATTGGCGATGGGTGATTCCAAAGGTTAGATACTGTACGCATGCTAGAAACTCCTGATTCACAAAGTGTTACTAGAATTCCTCATAACTGTTTTGGTGCATATTTGTATACTTGCTAGACTTGGATATAGTCTTTTTAAGGCATAATGTAGCTACGTAGATCTTTGCCACCATAATTTTTTTTTAAATTTGAATCGCTTGGCTGCTTTTTTTCGAGTTCTGGCCAGTGCTCAGAATAGAGTAATGAGTAAAGTTCGAGACTTTTTAAAAAATGTTTTTTCCCTGCAATGCTTGCAAAGTTCCTAAGCATTAATACTTCAGTGGCTAACAGTACTGTGCAAATACAAGCTGTTTTACAGAATATACGTTGCAGAATTATAATAAGGTAGTCGAAAAATTCCTAGGGTGGGTGAGGTTACTAAAAAGTTAATACGAACATCGAGGAAGTTTGACATTGTAAAATGCATATTGTTGGGCTGCGGACAACGAATTAAAAATAGGATTTCTGTGTGAATAAACTATGTACGACTTCAAGTTTCCAAGTGCAATCGATAATATAGTACCAGAAAAGGAAACCAGTAACAATCAAAAAGACAACTCCTTAAAAAAGCTCAAAAATGCTTGAGAAAATATGACTTGGAGTACATCCGTACGCTTTTTTAACGCATACACCGTGGAAACATTCGTAGGTGTTTTTTTAACTCAATGCTTATGATCGCAATACTTCGATGTTTCAGATTCAGAATTTTTAACTATGGACTCAATGAAGGTGAAAGTAAAATGGGGCAAGGAGGTTTACGATGTCGAGGTGCACCTTAAAGAGGATCCTGAAGTGTTTAGAGCCCAGCTGTTTGCCCTTACCGGAGTACTTCCTGAGAGGCAAAAGGTAGGCTAATGACAATCTTTAGATTCATCTGGTGTCTCCCAACGAATCTATTCGCACATGTAACAAGGCACAGAATTGTGTCGGGTGCACTACATAGTGCACTCGTTTCCGACCGTGTTTTTAACTTATACAGGGTATTGGTAAACGTTTCCCAAAAGACTTTTGTACATAGAACACAAGAGACATTAATTAGTGCGCTTTTGTGTGAAGACCGCCCGATGTGGAACTAAGTAATTTAAATGTACAGAATTAGTTGAATCGTCGAATTTTTATGCGAGAAACACAGCACTTTTCCCATATTACACCCACTTGGATTAACTATTGCAAATTTTTGCATCCCTTTTTTTAACAGTTACTCATTTAAATAGCACATTTTCAGGATGGCATTCATTATTATTTTTAATTAATGCTTTTAATAATCTTTGCAGGTAATGTTCAAGGGTGCCATTTTGAAGGACAGCTGGGGTAGTATGAAACTAAAAGACGGCGCCACAATCTTAATGATGGGCACAAAGGAGGAGCTGCCCCAAGCTCCTACAGAAAAAACTGTTTTCATGGAGGACATGGATGACAGCGAGATATCTACGGCTCTAAAATTGCCGACTGGTCTAAACAATCTGGGTAACACCTGCTACATGAATGCTGTTGTCCAGTGCTTTAAAACGGTGCCCGAGCTAACCGACCAATTGGCAAAGTTTACTGGAGAAGTAAGCTTAGCCCATCCGTCGGCAAAGACGATTACTGGGGCTCTTCGAGACCTGTATCGATCTATGGAAGGCAGCTATTCCACGGCTCCAATCGTGTTATTGCAAGCCTTACATACAATGTTTCCACGTTTTGCCGAGAAGGGTGAACATGGCGCCAATATGCAACAGGATGCTAATGAATGTTGGACAGAGATGATGAGAATGTTGCAGCAACAGCTTCCCCCCGTCAATAACGTGGGGCTTGCTATCACAGGCGAGGATCAGGTAATCATGTCATGCGACTATCTGCTACTAAAAAATAAGTCATTGTTAGAACTGAACTATCAAAAAAGTTAGTCATGATACGTGAATGATACTCAATGAGCATTACAAATGCCCCTGTCGAGAAACATGCATTTGGTAAGGCTCTATACTGAAAGTAATGACATTAGTTTACGATGATTGTAAAAAATATTGTGTGCGTGTGGCTAGCTCTAAGTTTTTGAGTTAGTGGGAAAATAACTTCCGCTTATGCCGTAACAATGCAAGGGCTTACGCTTAGGTGTATTAGATCTCTAGGCACATTTTCAGATTCATGGCGTGTGTGTTGTGGGCCTGCAATATAACACTACTGATCAGTAATACAGCATGCAACAGAAAATGATTGCCGGCTCTCATCCCGCCGATCTCATGAATACGATGTTTTTTCTCGTTCCGATCTTCAGTCCCAGACTGCTTCACCTTCGGCTGCCGCTCCAGCTCATAAGAATCTAATTGATCAGCTCTTCGGAGGAAAACTAAATGTAGCTCTCCAGTGCACAGAAAGCGAAGAGGAACTGACGACACAGTCAACCGAAGACTTTCTGCAGTTGTCGTGTTTTATTAGCAACGAGGTTAAATATCTCATCGCGGGTCTCAAGTTGCGTATGCAGGAAACAATCACAAAAATGAGCCCGGTATTTAATAATTCGCTTAGTTTGTATATTTTCCACGTGAAAATATCGCGTTCATGTCCATTGGCATTGTTCACTAAAATTATTTGAAATGTGTAGGACAATAATTAAAACTAATAATGACACAAGCTGTTTTCAGCAAGCATCATCTTCCTTGGATTCCAATATGAGCTTACCAACAATACCCGCATATGCATGTATGCAGGATTTACAAATATTTTTTGTAGGTACGAAACTTTTTGTAGGCAAACAGATCTATGATATGACGGTAGTGGTAACTCATGGATTTTGCTCCTTCTTTGTATTCTCCTTCATTTGCAGACGTTAAATCGCGACGCGTCTTACCAGAAAACAAGTAAAATCTCCCGATTGCCGGCATATCTCACCATCAATCTTGTGCGCTTTTATTATAAGGAGCGGGAATCGGTAAATGCGAAAATTCTTAAAAATGTCGTTTTTCCTATGATGCTTGATGTCTACGAGTTGTGTAGCACCGATCTCCAGCAGAAACTTTCACCACAACGAGAAAAGTTTAAGAAATGGGATAATGAACAGGTGGAAAAGAAGGTTCAAGGAGCTGGCGAAAACGGCTCTAATAAAGGCCCGGAGGATGAGGCTGCCAAGAAAATAATCGAACCATTTTCGTTTAGCGAGGATCCTGGCTCAAACAACAGCGGGTTCTATCAACTGCAAGCTGTGCTTACGCACAAGGGCCGCTCCAGTTCGTCTGGGCATTACGTTGGTTGGGTCCGGCGTCAGAGCAAAGAGTGGTTCAAGTGCGATGACGATGTCGTATCGTTAGTGTCCGAAGAAGAAATCTTGAAGCTAAGCGGCGGAGGTGATTGGCATGTAGCCTACGTTCTATTGTATGGGCCACGTGTCCTGGGGTAAAAGGCGGTGAAGAATCGTTAGACCGATTGCTTGAAATTGATTCTCGCTGTTCGTCCACACGTAAACTATAAACAAACAAGCATTAATTAAATATGAACGATGAGTATTAGTTTGGATCTATACGTACGATAAAGAAATCCAACTAATAAGTACGTGGGTGGTTTGGAAATTCGTAGACGTGGATACTGTGATGAACGATGTGCTTCAGCGGTGAAGGCAGATAGGGCAGGGAGCTTAGCAAACTCGCTAT